ATATATTCATATATATATATATATATTCATATATATATATAAATTATGAGGTAAACTCCCAAATTCAATTAGTTTATAATTCAACAAATAAGTGACTTAAGTCCAATATGCTCATTCATGCACAATAATTTTCATCAAAATAATAATAATAATAATAATAATATAATAATTTATTATGATAATTAATATTACAAAAATATATTGTAATAAACATATTATTTTGTTTGTATGGTCCATTATTTACTAAACAATGTATAAAACAAAATGTTGAGCATTAAGTATATATCAAATATACCCAAATTCAATCTTAGATTTCATTGTTAGGGATGACAAATAAATTCGTACCCGTGAATAATACCCGAATTCATCCCGACTTTAATAGAGAATATCCGGTTTGACTGGATACGAGTACGGATAAAACCTAATATATTAAACCGGGTACGGGTACAGTTAGGAGTTACGATTACGTGTATATACTTACCTGTCCCCGTCCCCGTCCTCGATTTATTACCTGTCCCCGATTTAATTGTGTTAAAAAATTTAATATTTAATTATGTGTGATTGTTTATTATGATGTGAAATATTTATAATTATTTAATTATTAAGAAGTCTTTTAATTAAAATATGAAATAGACAAATAACCTAATTATAATTGTAACATAATAGATAAATAAGCTTAAAATATTATATATTTTTTTGCAAAAAAAAAATAATTTTTAACGAGTACGGATACGAGTATATTGATATCTGACGGGACAGGGATGAGACAAAAATTATATACCTGACAGGTACGGATACAGAAATGAAAATGAGTTTGATCCAAAAAAACAGGAACGAGTATCATGAAATCGTATCCGACTCACTCCGTTGTCATCCCTATTCAATGTGGTTTGTTGCTAGCCGCTAGTAGGAACTTCTTACACATCACTTTGAAATCTGATTCTAGTGCTGCAATATCTCTTTTAAAAGATGATCGTGGGTTCTGATTTTAATATTCTTCATGATATTAAGGATTTGCTTATTTCTTTCTTACATGTTAGCTTTACTCGCATACTTATAAATAAATCAGGTTGCTCATGGCTTGGCCAATCATAGAGTAGAGAATTGTACTTTTGATGTTTTGTTGAATTTTATAGCCCCTCTTATGTTAGCTGATTCAGCAACTATATTTTTCATTCGTGGAATATAATTTTGTCTAGAGTCTTGACTCATTTTGCACACACACAAAAAAAATATAAGGGAAATTTTGTTGAAAGAAATAAAAAAACATAACAATAATTTTTCCGTCTCAAAACAAATTAATATTTAATCATTACTCGAGAGATATCAGATAAAATATTCAAAAGGTTTTGAAAATTATACATGTGATAAGATAAATTAAGATTATAATACATCATTAATTAACTATTAGAAATATGAGATGATGGGGTTTGAAAAAAAAGCATATTATCACCACATCATAAATTAAGCTTAAAATAGAAGAGTGTCATATAGAAAATTAATTGATAAAAGATACGATAGAGTGAGTAGATACTCTACGTATAAAGCTGATTAAGACTAAAAATATTCTCTAATAAATTAACAACAAGTAACCAATTATTCTAATAAACTATCAACTGTTAACGTTAACATTGTCAATGTTTAGGTTTCTTTGTTAAAAAATAATTAATTAAACTATAATTTTAATTTTTTAAATGTATTATCTGTCAATTTCAATTTACGTTATCCAAACTAATTAAAGTTTTGACACTACAAGAAATATTACATATAGTGACATACAAAAAGTGTCACTATAGATACAATATATGTAAGTATGTCTATTTAACATATAGTTACACACAATTTTAGTGTTGATTTTGAATAAGATTTAATAACATATTTTGTATATCACTATAACTTATACCCACACTTTTTAATAATATATCAACATATATTATAGTTTTTGTGGAGGTAAAAATAATTTTTAGTGATATGTATAATATTATTATAGGGTATATGTCACTATATGACAATTTTCTTGTAGTGTGAACATGTTAATTACAATCTAACCACACACTTTGTTCAGTATAATAGATAATAATTTTTTTATAGGAAAATCACTCCCTAGGTTAATCTATGGAGGTTACGACTATTAGTTCTCTGAATTTATGTAGCTGAAGTGACTTCTAAATTGTCGGTTTCTTTCGACCACTTCAATACCTTACAGGCTTACAGCTAAATTTTCCTCTTCTCTGATTCCTGTCCGGACTTGTAGATAATAATAATAAAATCATTTAAATTCCACTTGCACTGTTTAAATAATATTCATTCTTATTTTGTGAAATGATTATAATTGTACAATAAAGTTGGAGGAAGATATAGAAAAAATATAAAGTATATATAAAATAAGTAATATGATAAAAATAACAAATAATATTATAATACAATACGAATCTATCAAAAGTTATTTTCATTGGTCATCTTGCTTTACTTCTCCCGAAACCCTAAAAGCTCAGGGATTTTATTTCATATTAACAAATAATTTGGGGTTTAAGTTCGTTCAAATTATGTATTTAGTTATCTTGTATGGGCGGTATAATTCTTTTAAAACAACTAACATCAGAAACTATATTTTCAACACAGTTATTTAAAAAATCAACAAATTTATTATATACGATACGATAATCAGTGACTGGACTATAGTATTAGCACATTTAAATAAAAAATTTAAATTATTTAGGGAAGTATCTTCCTTTGTCGATTTGCATGGAGCTGCATACTTATCTCAAACAAAAACAAAAAGATTATTCACCCAAAAAAAAAACTATATATTGATGATTGAAAAAATGAAAACAAAGATAGTAACATGCAACAACAGATCATAGAATTAGTATTCAAACATTAAAGGAAAATAAGAGACGTAAATTGAAGTAGTTTTACATTGTTAATCAACTACAAATTATTATATATAATAAATTTATTAATTTTTATAATCAATAACTAAAAAGTTATATCATCAACAATAATTAACTGTGTAAAAAACATAACCATTTAACTTAGAAAATAAAACGTTTGTCATTTTTTTAGGGAATAGGAGGTCCTCTTCCCTTTTTCCTACCAACCAAAAATGGAGGATCAAGAGAGAGAGAAGGGGGAAGGGGGAAGGATTGCAAAGTAATTAACACTGAGACTCAAATATAAATAACAACAACTTCTGTTTGTACTACAAATTAACTACTTAACTCTGTTGTTTCCCTAGCCTGAGTTCAAGATCCAAGTCTTCCATTCCACGATCAAGTCCAAGTAAGATTTCCTCAGGTTGAAAAGCCAAGCGTTGTTTATCATTTGATTTTGAACATCTCTTACAATTGATGTTGGCTCTGTCAACGGTTGGAGATGAAGTAAGTCCCACAGACAAACTTGTTTCAACATGATTATCACAACCCAAGCCATTAAATTTGTATTCCGTGTTATTTTTCTGTCCGAAGATAATTGAAGAAAAAGAAGAATAAGGTGACAAACTATGCTGACCACAAATTTCAAATTGTCTGGTGGATGCAATTGTAGTTGCAGGGCTAGAATAATAAGCAGCAAGACCACAATCTATCTGTGTGGAGGCAGAAAAATGATTACCTAATAAGGACTTGAAACCATTTTTGTTATGACGATGAAGGGGTTCATTTTCATGATAATTATTGTGAGGGCTAAGATTTTGTTTGAGTCTAGCCCTATCCCTCCTGTGGACATTCATGTGACCCCCAAGTGCTTGAGCAGACCTAAACTCTCTTTTACAAAATGTACAAGAGTAAGATCTTGGAGGCCACATGCTACCACCAACTATTCTAGCTGCATCTTCAGCAAATGCTCTTTCTTCCCACGAGTAATTCTTATTGTCATCTTCAACTTCTGCTTCAAGGTATGGCTTCAGGGTTTGTTCTCTCTTCACATGCATCCAGTGCTGAGATCCCTCCATCATCACATAAATATGTAGTAAAAAATATAAGGAAGAATTAAGCAATGAAAATAGCAAACTAGTGAAGTGAATTAATATACATGGTCAAGAGGAAGAGGGGTGCATGTCCCTCTAAAGATAATTGAAAGCAACTTAGGAATCTATGAGGAAAGAGAAAATGACTAGGTATGAAGGTCTAGTTACACGTTCTGAATCTCTTTGGCTTTTGTAGTGTACCTGAATGCTGTTTAATTTATTACTATTATTGAAACATTGTAAAGTGTTTTTACAGTAAGCTAGTTACAAATCACTTTAGTAACTACGTTAAAAGTTAATAGTGACAACAATTTTTATGATGGAAATTAAATTTATTATTGTTTGCGTGGTTTCATACGAAGTTTTAGGTGAAATACTGCTGAACTGGATCCCTCATAAAGCTTTCTTCAATCTATACTATACTATACGGTAATAGTGTTGACTTATGCTCAAGACTTTTGTTTTTCTCTTAAATTCAGTATATATACTGCGAAGAATGTTTTATGATCACGAAATTAGAAAAATAAGTTGTCTTTGATTTTGATTTATAAAATGGAAAAAAAAAATTGAGAAATAATTATATGTATATAACATATGATATATAATAATTTTTATAACATTCAAATAATTAATGAATTGAAACTGAAAAATTACATTAAGCATAGGTCATTTATAATTTCTGAACCAGTACCGTGACCTATCTGTCATAGGCCCTCTGTGATATTTTACTATTCCGATAGAGTAATTAATTGAATCTTCAAAGAAGTTATAAATTTACCTACCAAATTGGTTCAGCGGTAGGGGTTGATCCACGCTTAAACAAGGTCAGGGGTTCGAATCCTACTTTGTGTATGCAGCCGCGTTAAATCTTGGGGTCAGCTATCCCACCTTTTGAGGTGCCTCCAACGTAGCGAGGAGATTAGTCTCGTCCAGGGACGAACCAAAAAAAAAAAATTATATGTCTTTAAGTATTAAATTACTATTATCAAATAGATTTTTTCCACTTAAAAAACGGTTCCGTCAAATAATTTTATAGAATAGTTAAAAAAAACAAAGAAATTAGTCCTTATATATAGTACACTGTACACATCTCAATTCAAAGTGTTATGAAGTCATTAATTCCTTTCTGTGGTCATGAACAAATGATATATCAGTGTTCATATATAGCGAAAGGCCAACGTTGATTTGATAATCTAAAACAAAAACCCTTTGCATGTGTCCCAAGGAAGCTAGCTCATAGACAATCCACAAATCTTATAGGTTTTTCCTCCCATATGATATCACGTTAAGTTACGTCTCAAATTTGTTAATAGACAATCTACTAATGGTAATTTGGGAATAATTTTAAAACTTTATAAGAATTTTTTTTAGTGAAAAATATGCTAAATCAATACAATTTTATATTTTAAATAGAGAAAATAATTTTGTTAAAAGTAAAATTTGATGTTTTTGTCGGTGAGTTGATATTAAAAGAAAGTATAAAACTAGTTTAAATCAATTTATTAATATTTTGAATAGAAAGATGATAATATAAAGGTTTAAAGTGGAACAAAATTATCAGTAAGACAAAATTTGTTTAATTTTAAAAATAGTGACTTGATTAAAAAAACTTTAAAACTAAAATTGCACATAATTTAAACTAAATGGACGAAAAGTGAAACTAATAAAAACTTATTTAGTATCCTTCTAAATGTTCTTAAAATTAATTATTTGTAGTATATATAAAGAAAATATCATTAGTTTCTATCCAGGAAACAGAAATATTTTGTTTGTATCTTTCACACGTGAGTTCTTCCAATAGTTTTCAGAATTTAAATACTCAATATTTAGTGACTGTTTTCAAACACATTCTTTAAATCATGTAGAGCAAATTGGCAATAAGTTATTGCTACATATTTTGTTTATGTTTAGTGGAATTTTGTGGAGAGGAATATTATTGCAGAACGACGAAAAAGGTCTTACCGTCTTAGTATTTAAGAATCATTTCATTGAATTGGTCTTACTAAATCAGTACACTGAACTTAATTAAACATATTAATTATTCCCTGATCCTTGGACTTAAGCAAGAACAAGTGCCTTGTATACAAAGAAAGGATATGGCTACCATTTGTGCTGACATAAAGGTGTGGAGCTACCTGCTGTGTCCTCTGTGTTTATGGCTTTATTCTAATTTACGTTCCTACATGTGCTATCCGAGCACAAGCACCAACTTTGAACTCGGCGCTAGGTCCCACACGACATCGGATGAGCGCTACAAAATATCGGTCAAAACAAAGATCTACTATCCGAACGGGTCACAGCCGACTTAGGCTCAGATAAACCTTAATTTACACTAAGGTACGTGCACTACATATACGAGACTCATACACTCACAAAGACTAATTTTAGCATCAGAGTCTTTTTTGCAGGTACCACCCTCATTTCGGAGCAATCGACGTGCCCAGCAAAGGAGGCTCATTAATTTTGGCTAACAGATTGTCTCCCTTGACCGATCTCCGGTAAAAACACTACCCATTTGCAACTGAAAGACATTAAGATTCGACAAGAATGATCTACCATTAATTAAGGTTCAGTTTGAACAGCCAAATCTTGTACAGCACCATAATTAAGAGATGTAACTGATGCTTAAAGCATATGTTATCAGTAATTCGATTATATTCTTGGAGTCACCGTCACGTCTCAAATTAGTCTCCAATGGAAATATCTTATGAGCATATATTGGTCTTTCAACAACCTGGGCTAATAATGGTTTGCACTTTGCACATTGCAATACCATTGATAAGTCCCAAGTTCGAGACATAGACATGTCTTGAGCTCTTCATGCAAATAAAATAAATAAATAATAATAATAATAATAATAATAATAAATTTCTGTTGAGTTTGCTAATAATCTAACTTTAATTGAAAATCTAACCGAGTCATTTTTAATAAAGTCTTCTTTTTTATTTATATTTTTTTATTCATTATACTCGAACTTTAAACTTTGTTTACAATAAATAAATCCAACTTCTTTCTGGTCAATGACTTATTAATAATCTCATTATCAATTTAATTTTGTATATGAATTAATTTGATTAATTTAATGCCCCAGACTTAATATTTAAATTCTGCTATCCTATTTAGTTAACACTTCATTTGCCTGTATAGCGAGATGAAAATTTGATAATTTGAACTAAAAGGTTCAAATTAATAAAATTAAATGTTTAATTAATTGAATTTATTTTTTTACACCATTATTTATAAAAAAAAATTAAACATATTGTAAATTATTTTAAAATCACTCTAGTTACGAGTTTCAAGGTAATTATTATAAAGTCATAAATATTTAACAATAAGTTTAATTTCTAAGCATCATGTGTAAAGTGTTTTATATTATTAATTAATCAATTTATAATAAATATAATTTTTAAAATAGTTTTTATAAAAATTTATAAAATTATCATACACATTAACTGTGGATTGGATACAAGTGTAAAAATTAATAATTATTATAAAAATTTATAAAATTATCATACACGTCAATTATGGATCGGATGCTAGAGTACAAATTATATATTTACATTGCCAATGTATAAATTATTTACTATATTTAATTATATAATAATCAATTTATTCCAATTAAATTCAATTTATCACTAAACAAATTAATAGCAAACATATCTTCATGTAACTAAAAGAAAATTTTAGTCCCTAGTGTTCCAAATTTTTCGCTATCCTACGTAGGACCATATCGAGCATATCATAATCTAAAAAAGTACAATGATTAATGTAGTAATCGACAATGTAATACTTTTTTGTTGAAGAATATTCGAAACGATTCTATTCTTTTTTTTTTTGTTTGTTTGTTTGTTTGAATAAGCCAAAAAGAAAATATTTAAAATAAGTTATAACATAAGGATACTCACTTAACATAATTTAACGATTCTAAATAATCTTAAAATTAGTTTTAAAAATTTATTGTTGGGGGGGGGGGAGTTTTTTTTTTTACAGAATTTTTTTTTGAAGAAAAACAAATAAAGATTATATTCGTAAGAATCATAAATATCGGTTTTTGTCCCAAAAAAAAAATTAAATTCAGTTGAATTGAATACCTACTAGGTTTCCAAAATACAGTGTTAATGAACAAGGAAAATATAAAAACAACACCATTTCTAAAATCACTAAGAAAATATCGTGAAGAATATAGTTCTAGATACATAATTCCAACGGCACAGACAAGAAAGAAATGAATTATATATATTAACATAGCATGATGTCAAGTCATGGACTCGTGATGTCTTTATTTTCAACTTGTGGAACTGTAGTTGAATATTAAATTTTATCATATTATAAGTTTATGATATCAACTCTTATATATTAAACATAAGTTTTTATATTATATGAGAATAGTTTTAAAAAAAAAATTTATGAGAAGATTTTTAATTTTTTTAACTTTTTATTTAATTTAATTTTTATTTTTATAATTATTTATGAATTAAATTTTGATATTTTTAAAATAATTATTAGTAAATGAAAAGTATTGTGTTACAATATATTTTAAATTTAAAATATAATTTATATATTTAAAACTATTTATTTATATAAATTTTAATTATAATTTATATATTTAAATATAATATTTATTTATATGAATAAGTTATTACAAATTTTAATTACATATAATAAATATTTAATTTATACATTTCATAGTACTAATAACTTAGTTGTAAATTAATCGCAAAAAAAAAACAGAGGATGGCCTAATAGATAAGATTAGAATTACCAAAGGTTTCCATCTCATAAGCATCATGAATTAGATAGGAGAGTATTAAATTTTATACAACATTTTTTACACACGAAAGAGATAAGAAGACGAGAAGGGGATACAAATGTGTATGATTTTTACATGAGTGGTGTAATAAAAAGAAAGATGGAAAACATATATATACAGTAATTAGTAAGAAGGTGTGGTAAAAGGTAAAGTAAAAATAATTTAACTAAACTACTAAATAAGTCCAAGATATTAATGAGTATGTCCGCGTGACTGTAGAGGGCAGATGTCGGCAAACAACTACATGCTTTATGAGGAAAAAGGAAAAAATAGATTATACATATTTATAGGTAAAATACGGAATAAAGATTTAATTAGTCACTAAAAAATCACAATGTAATTAATTTGATCTCTAAAAAAAATCACTCTTTTAAAGTGGTGGAGTGTATTTTAGAAAATAAAATACATTTATAATTATTAATTATAAAATCAACAATTAAGATTTGCGATAAAATCAAATTCTTATAAAAAAAATAAATTTTAAAATTAATTATAATATATTATATCTTATTTTCTAAAGTGTAACTTTCTCACTTTAAAATAGTTAGATTTGCAAAAACATGTGACTGAATATTTCATTAAAATTACTAATGTAAGATAGTCCAAGTCCAATCAAATAAAATAAGTTAGACTACATAAAATAAAATAAATAATGACTACATAAAATAAAATAAATAATGTGTCATTTTTTTTAGATTTAATTACTTTTTGTCATTAAAATTTCATAAATTTTATCATTTAGCTTTTATAATTAGAAATTTTCATTTTAATCTTTATACATACAATTTTTTTTCCCTTTTAATTCCTTTAGTCACATAAAATTTTCCTTTTAGTTTTTATACTTATATATACTTTCTCTTTTAATTTTTATAGTTGCATTAATTTTCTCCTATAGTTTCTAAAAAAATATGACAGGAATTAAAAAGAAACAAAAATAATATGTAAAGGTGCTAAAATGTGATATTCTTAATTGTAGGATCAAAGGTAAAATTTATGAAACTATAAGAACTAAAAAAATAATTAAACCTATTTTTTAATCACATTACTTATAATATTTATTATTTTTCACTTTTATTTTTTTATTTTTATCTTTCTTCTATCTTTTTCCACCCCAAGTTTCAGAGAAATAATTGTTGAATGTGTTTATAAGTTTTGAAGAAAAAAAATTCCCAATTTAACATAATAGTTATCAATAAAATGCTTCCCCAAAAGTAACTTTGGGTAGAAACAAAAAAGTATGACTAATGTACCAAATAAGGATGAATAAAATGATAACCACTAATTATTTGCTTAAAACTGGATTTGGAACCAACATAATACTAAACTTAACCTCCTTAAATAATATCTCAATTTGAATCTTGCATCGAAAAAAACATGATTAAGAAAAAAAATTTCGCAATCCTAATAAAAGTAATCAATCAAGTTCTTTAACAGATATTAGTTATCAAAAAATGATGAATATTTTGTAACAATAATATAATTATCCAAAAAAATTGAATTTAGAGCATATAAATGATCAAAGCTACATCTAATAGACTGTTGATAAATCAATTAAGGCATACTCTTGGACGTTCAAATATATCTATTCATGACAATTTCAAAACTTGTGTTGCTTGCATCATACCGAGTAAATTACATCTCGCAGCTAAGTGAAGAGAATATCGAGTTCTGTACAATTTAGTAAGAAGGACTCCAAATCAATTTGCAGTTAACCAGCTCAGGCGTGGCTCATGGAGAAAGGAGGCGGTCTCTATAAGGATAATACTACAATGGCTCGTTCTAATGTGTCTCAAGCCATAACATATCTTCAACCAAAAATCTTACAATAGCATCAAGCGTCCCAATGGAGATGTGAATGAGATCTGTAACACTGCATAATCAGTTTAAGAGAACCCAAACAACCTCAGAAAAAAACAAAAAAGAAAACAACCAAGGACCGAGACCATGGGTTCAAAGGGACACAATCAAAGCCAATTCAGGTTGCCCCACAGGGCTGAAACTGTGATTAACCAATACCAGGACCATCTTGACCTGCTGTTTCTTTTGAAGACACAGAATTGTTTTCATCAGGTCTCACACCTTCAACTTTTTCAGTGTCTTGCTCAGGAAACAACTCAGATTTCAATGATGGAGCAATATTATTTATATGCTGCCATGTCAGTTCAAATAAACTATTTCCATCTACACTACTGCTTCGCACTAGTACCCGAGTTGCTTTCATAACAAGCAATATGTTCTTCAGTAGCTCAGGTACCAGCTCCTGAAGCTTCTCGCTTCTCCTTCCCCTAACTCTCACTTTCATATAAGATTCTAACCGACTTAGAACAGCCAACCATAATTCACTGAAGCCAGTCAACTGTGATAGGGCTTGGATTAACTGGAGGAAAATTTTACACAAGAGCTTCAAAGCAAGAACAAGTGTTCCTTCTATGTTCCGGTATTCCTTCTGAGAGTGTGTCTGAGAAATTTCAAGGAGGTCATCAACCACAGTGAAGATCACTTGATCAAAACATTGTAACCACAAGCTATGTGAGAGATTAACCCCAACTGATCCTGTAAGGCAATTTTGCAAAGATAACAATGCATGGTTTCTAACCTCCTCTCTCTGGTCTAGACATAGTTTTTTTATTCCCTGTATGAGCCTCAACCACATGTCCCCAATATCCTGTAACATCTTTGCCACCTCCTCTTCTTTTGCTGCTTGCTTGGCATCATTAGTCCACTTCTCTAAACAACTGACAGACCCTGCCATAAGATCAAGGGCCATTACAGACCGTTCTACCTGTCCAACACGAGATTCAGCAAACTGCTTCGCAGCATCTACACAGAGAACATAATTAGCGGGAAGCAAGTGGGCTCCATCTGACATAATGAACACCAGTGCATCAAACCCAGCCTCAGCTGCTTCCAGGTGTCTAGCAGTGATGGAAAGCAGTGATGTAATCGTCCGCCATCCTAAATGAGATCTAATGTGAGAAGCATTTGCCTTCATGAGGTGACTAACTTCCTGTGTAATCTGCTCATAGTATGCATCGGCAACACGTGCATCAAGCTTCAGGACAAGTTGCAGAGACCTCAGAAGTTCATCAGTAATGTTCTCTTTGTAGGGAAGCAAGCGATGACAAATCCGTAGGAGGCCAAAAACAGCCTTCTCTACCAATGCACAAGGCATCACAGTTGACTGAACAATATTGGAAATATGCTCATAAACACCCTGCCAAAGAAGTTCTATTCTATCCCTGTTATTCAGAGTGATGGCTACCAGTAACTCCAGGCAGAAAACCACAGTATCTTCATCCTCAAATGAGCTGTTCCCTTTCTTAGACCGCACTCCTGCACTAGTGAGTGCTTTTGCAAGCTGCAATAGAGAATCAGCCTGCAAAAATTTACTCTCAGAGAATATGCTGTCAATGTGACACTTCTGAATTGTTTGAAGGGTGGACTGCTGAGCAGCAAGTTGTTCCTCAGTAGGTACTGATCTTGGCTCTTCAGTGCCAAGATATAAGAGTTGACTAAACCTGCTCATCAATCCTGAGGATTTCTTTGGAGTACTAACAGATGGAAGATGGGATAAAGATAAAGAATTAGTATTACGCTTCCCCCCATCATGCTCAGTTTCTGTAGAAAGCTCTGACTCTTCAGCTGCATCACTGGCCATTCGTGCAGGAAGAAGACCTAACTTGTGAAATTTTAGGATGCAATCAAGAATATTCCTCCACCCTGTGCGGATGTAATCACCATACCTATTTGCAATAGTGAAAACTGTCTCAGTTGCCATTCTTGCTTTCGTGTCATCTCCAAAGGCTAGGATTGACTCCTCAACAGATAATGGATCAAAAACAGTTACAAACTTACAAAGTGACACAACCAAATCATCCAGTATATTTTCTAGATGATAGTAAGCTGCTATCTTTGCAACAGCTATGAACCCATCCATACATGTTTGGTATACCTCTGCATTCTCAGCATTATCAAATACTACAGAAATGGCAGCAATTGTTGGACCAGACAATATAGCAAACATGTCATAATCAAGGTATGCTTCAGAATCAGAAACGATGAATGGAGCAGATTTTTTTGATTTGTGCATGAGATAAATCCACCGACTTGGGGTCATTTCAGGAAAACCAGAACCTTGCTCAGGAGTTGTCTGGATCTCATTTTTACATATTGAATGGTAAAGTTCCGTCAGGAACTCTCGAGGTAGATCACTGCCCCCATTTATTCGCCTATTATTTCGGATAAAATCATCTTCTGTCATCTTCTTTTTGACCTGCGAATTGTGCTGATCTGTGTTAAGCATTATAATTGAGTATGATAACAACAGAGCAGCATCCTTATTGGCTAGGATATGAGGAGACTGTTCATAATATCTCTCGGAGAAAGCTTCAAGCACCCTCTGTATCTTCTGTGATTCTCCAGGAAGTCTGAAAGTCTCCAAAAATAGACGTAGGGCAGTGTCTAACATCATGTCTTTGAAATCAAATGTTCTAGCAAATTCATGAAGAACCTCAACACAGAATTCATCATGATTTCCTAGAAAATCACCAATGAGATTCTTATCCAACCCAGCAGTGTATCTGAAAAAGCAGGCAACACTTTGGGGATCAAGTTTGTCAGGTAAAAGATGTGATCCTTGGAGAAACTCAAGACCTTTCTTAGTATCACGATTAAAATGATCGGCTCCAATCATCAATCTTCTCTTGAAGTACTTTCTCCGGCATACAAAAGGAACCCAATTATTTGGATCACTGAAATTTTCACACTTTTCCAGCCAGAATGGAGTATACTCCTCAAGATTCACAGGATATTGTTCAGAACTTAAAGATCCATTGCCTATCCTTTCAGCCATTCCTTGCATGACAGCAATAAGACCATCCAAAGCAAGAATATGCATGGAAGACAATGGACTGTTCACAGGAAATGCACTTTTGGACAACAAATTAGCAATGTCTTCAAAGACATTACTGCAAGTTATGTCACAGTCAAAGTTGGCATACATCTCCACCATGAATGTTTTTTGCCTGCAAAAGTCAACAAGGGCCTCCATGGCAACTTCCTGTTGCTGATATGAAGCTCCATATTTGCTTTGTGCAAGCCTCAAAATTACACAAGAAAAAAATGCTTCTAGCTGTAATTTGAGTTCTGTGCGAAGATGATGATACAAATTTAGAACAATGCTAGATACCATTGAAAGTACAAGAGGACTCATTGACAAACCAAATTGCATAAGATTGCGGAATAATTCATCCTGAATTAAGCTCAGCAATCTATGGTGTCGGTGAAAGGAAGCCCCTCCCAACTCTATGGCTGAATTAATCAAAGTTAAGGCAAAAAGAGGCACGTCTTCATCAAATGCTATTGTGTTTGATCGAGGACTCACTCCCATGTGTTCAACAACATTCAACAAAGAACACAAAAAGTGAAATATTTCCACCATGCAGGGAATCCCATATGGTTCCTTCATAAGCTGCAATTCACTCGGATCAGTCCCCTTGCCATTGCTAGCAATAGCTGTGTCTTCATCCACTACAGTCCCTGCCACATCACTCACAGTACTAGAAGCAATTCCTGTGGATAAGGGTTGACCATCACTTGCAGAATTCAAACTCCCATTCTCCAATTGTCTGTTTGCAGAATTATGCTCGTTACTTAGCCCACCAGTCTGTTGAAAATTCAATAAAAAAACTATCAGCAAGTAAATTTACAAGTTTATGCATGTCCTCACTCACATTTAGCATCAGAAAAATTGTTTATTGCAGTTTGATAATGCAGATATTTTTGCAGCATTAATTGTAAAAGATATCAGTATTTGTGATGATGATACATGAGGACAATCTCTCTAACCCTAAATAGTAACAATGCATAAACAGACTAACAATCATTCTCTTCTTTCTATCTTTTACCCTTTTACTAGAGGTGCAACAAGGTGATGCAAGACAACAAGGGATCAGCTATTATTATTTTATTTTTTTAATCATTTTCATGTGATTTTACTAGAGATTATATTCAGGGATTTTATTGATGAATTTCAGTAGTTTTGGAGTAATTCTGAGAAAGTCAAAGTCCTACAACGGTATGGAGGGATGACACTACCTCATAGGTGAGGAAGGCTTTGGCCTCCTAGTTATAACTTGTTAAATACTCCAACTAAAAAACATGCAGGTGTACATTAGTAAATCTCATATGTGTGTGTATAATTTTTTATTTGCATGAAATTTTGTAAACTTAATCTAGTTTATAAGAACTTTCAAATCTAGTTTATAAGAACTTTCAATTCAATGATTGAATTTGTTAATTCCTTATTTTATAGAAAGTTATTAAGTGATATAAGTGTAAAAAATTGACATCAGGTGTCAATTAATCCTCTTTCTCACACACACATCAATACTTTACGCTATCTTTGCCCAAGGTGGATTATAAAAGCTCTAGAGGATTGTTTATTTGCCGATTTAGCTTTATTACACCTATGGAAGGGCCTTTTTTAGATATTAATATCAAAAATAAATAAAGCCCTATAATAAGGTTTCCTAAATGCGATATAACATTTGCCCCAGACAAGGTGGATTAAAGAAGCTCTAGAGGATTGTTTATTTGCCCGTTTAGCTTTATTACACCAACGGAATGGCCTTTTTAGGTAATAATATATATATATATATATATATATATATATATATAAAATAAAGTTTCCTGTGCATAAAATGAGACATAACTTATATTATCACTTGTTAATAACTTAATTACTCCAAGCAGTTTTCCTTGTTTCCTGGTAAGTTCCAGAGGACACGCCTATAAGATTTCTAGGTCTTGTGCTAAATAAATAATTAGTCCCCTTCTTTATTTGACGGAAAGCAGGAAGACAGGTCTAAGGTCATTTTAGATCAAATACAAAATCCAGGTTTAATCAGCTGATCAAACACTGTATGTCATATGGTATCTAAGAGTATGTTTAGGAGTGAGGTTTCAAAGGGAAAGGGAAGGGAGGGTAAACTTATTTTTATTTTTGAATTAAGAGAAATATATAATGTTTATAAAAAAAATCAATGATTAAGACATTAATTTTATGGTAATCTATCAATTTATTTCTTTTGTTTTAAAAAAAATTATCAAATTAGAAAATATTTATTAACAATGAAAATTTTGTCCTCCCTTTCTTCCAAAACATCACTCCCAAAAATATCCTAAAACGCCAAGATTGTAATAATAAATTCATGGAAATTGGAAACTTGAAACGAGTAATAAACAGCAAAGTAAGCAGAGGGTTAATAAGCAAAGTAATTTTTACCTTTTAATCATTTCAAACAAAAAATGGTACATAAATTTGAATTGTACCCCTACCCCCAAGGTCCCAATTTTTCCTTACAATCATTTACCTCCCCAGCAACTGACAAAATCAGGAAAGAAAAATGAAATTGCAACCAAAAGGACTAAGGTAACATAAATGCTATACCTCTTGTTTTAAAGCAGTTTCCCCATTTATCAATGCAAGTTCTGTGTTGTTAATATCTTGAAGGTGAGAAAAAATACACCGAACAAGTTCATGCATTGTGTAACGTGCTATCCGCTGCAACAACTCACTTTTGGTTCCTGCTTGATGAACTATACGGAAACAAGTATTCACTATGGTGCAAATATGTTGGTTACTCAGCATCACAGATGCTTTACTTTTCACACATGCTAGAAGAACTTGTAATATCTTCATTAATACCACTTCTTCTGATCCAGGATCAGTCACCTCAAACCTGCAACTCGTGACAGCATCAACTACCAAGTGCATGGCATCCCCGACATTAACAGTGTTTTCATCAATTACATCCAATGTTAAGATCTTGTAAACAGATGATAGAGCAACACCAGTAATTGGTGCACCAGTTTCATCAGATTGAATCACATCCAGAAAAGGCTGGAGATACAATGCCGGGCTTATGACATGCCACTGATTCTGCCATGAAAAAATTTGCCTCCTTAGTGCCTTCAGAGACTGAACAAGGGAATGCTCCAATTGATCATCATCTGACATATAATGAACTCCCCATCTAACATTTCTTCTCATGACAGCCAAAACAGCACCAATTTCTGCATTGATCATGCATGCCACAGTAGTTTTGTTAGGATATCCAGCATCAAACTGCTCAGATCCCTCTTCTATTGCATTGATGCCAGTTTGTGTTTGCAACTTCACATGTCCCATTTTATCAAGCAGATCTGCCTGACATTTACCACTAGAATTCCCAAGATGAAGCACAGCCCTACAAAAAGCAATGTTGAAAGAAACAAACAATGCAAAGTGATTTATTTGAGTATCCGTATGCCAAATTGAAGCACAAGTAACATAAACATTCTAACTTCAACACGCTAGAACCCCAAAAATCCATCAAGGCAGCAGCATATAAATGGTAAATATAACTAATACATAAGCAGAGCACATAAACAACAAACATACATACAGGAACATGCACATAGGAAGATAAGAATGTTCAAAAATTTTATATGCCCCCAATAAATCCAACTTTATCATTGATCCCATAAATCTAAGATAAACTACACATAGACGTACCAATAGCCCAATACACTGCATCCACTTTCTCAGTGGCTAAAGTGTTATGCCACCCACCCAATATTCAACCCACCTTTAACAAGCTACTACTCTCACCATCAACTATCACTCACCGATTCCTCCGCAAAAATTCAATCTCAGACAGAAAAACCCGAATTCAGTTCATATCTTAGATCTACAATCAAACATGACCCTTTCGATTGAATCAATTCCGTTGCACACTAACAAGTAACAATGATCTAATCCACTGAGCATGACCCATTCGGAACTGAGCCCAAAATTCAATATAAAGGGGTCCCAAACAGTGTGTTAAGCCTCCGATTCCGACAATGACACGAAGAAAACGAATATTGACATCGAAATTATATAAACAAATAAAAAGTAGGAATGGAATTGAAGCAGCGACGAAGAAGGGAAGAGCTTACCGAGAGCGAGATCGGGAGTGTTAGGGCATAAATCAAGCTGATGTGTTACATTGAAATCATGCCTTCAAATTGAAATCTTCCTTTCAAGTTCCTCTTTCTTTCTCTCTCTCTCAAATCTCAATTCTTCATTCAATTTTGGCACATCGCCTCTGTATTATTATCACTGCAACAACAACTGATCAGTTTATTTTCTACATGATTTAATTATTTTAAATAATGTTTTCCCTAAGGATTTTTTTTTTCCTTTCAGAAAACTTGTTTTTTGTGCAGTATTTTACCCTTTTAATTTAAGTTATCAGTATATTGTTTAGGTACTAAGTACTAGTGTTTCAGATGAGAAAAAATTGCAATGCTGTTAACTTTTTAAACACTTTCTTTTTCTTAAAATTTTGTTTCTACTTCAACTTTTTATCACATTATTGTTGGAGTAAAAAGAATTTGAATTCTTTATACGTAGTTTGAATTTAATTTATACTGTAAACCAATGGACCTATAAAAAACGACTTCTAAAATTATTAGATTTAAATTTTTATATAAAGTTTAGGTTTTTTATTTAATCAATGAGAGTTAAACTTGTATAAAGAAATTGGCTTAAATATGTTCAAACTACCTCGAATTATCACCTTCAAGCACAACAATTTCATCGCTTGGACTTGTCGAGGTTGCCGTGGAGGTCCCGGATGGCCACCAAACGGGGCGGCGGGTGGCAAGGGGAGGCAGGACGACGAGGGGAGGCCGGTTCGTAACGCGAAACAATTTTTTTAAAAAAAATTCAAGTCTGATGTGGTAAATTACGTGAAGAATGAGGTAGACATATGTGCTGATATGGCATACACTGTTGGGTAATGACGTGGCAGCCCATTAGCCACGTCGTCATTTAACAAACGGGGACTAACGTCAGGTACTAAATTAAAAAAAAAAATTAGTTAGGTAATTTAAACAAAAAAAAATCAATAAGTAGTAATCCGAAAACCGACCTAATTCAAGATAGTTTAAACATATTTAAGTCAAAGAAATTTGCAACAATTCATACACTAATACGGTAATATGAAATAGACATCTTTGATATATAGTTTCAAGTTTAATTTATAGCGATTGTAAAAAAAACTAGTTTAATTTACAGTGTAAACTCTTCCATTAATAAAATATTATGTTACATTTTTAAAATAGTTATTATAAATATTAATAAATTTATTAATATAATATTATTTATAATTAATATTACATTTTGATGTACAATAATCACAATGTAACCTAAAAACTCATATTATTAATCCCAACATAAGATTAAAATTAATTTTGTGTTAGTTATTAATAAATTATACGGGACAAACTTGTTTTTATTTATTTATGAAACTTCATAGAAAAGTTTGGGTACATATAATGAAGTTACAAATTAGTTGATAACAATTTATGAATATAGATAAAATTTAAAAGATAAGAATTATAAATTACAAGTTGTATATAACAAACTTAATCTTAATCTAAATTTGAAATATGATAGTTTAATCTATATTCGTTAAACAATGTGATTTTAATCTGTTGACAATTAACATATCATAAAGAATTAATAAATTTCAATTTAGTTACTTCATATTATTCCCCTCAAGTTGGAGAGTGGAGGTTAATAACTTTCAACTTGGATAAAAATCATGAAACAATTCCTTATCCATTACCTTCGTTAACAAATCTGCTTGTTGTTGTTTTGTGTGCAAATAGTTTGTTATAATGGCTTGATGCTTCAGGTGATCCCAAATAAAATGACAATCAACTTCAATATATTTTGCCCATTCGTGAAAAACTAGATTTTTTGTTATATGAAGTGTTTATTGACTATCACAAAATAATTGAGAAGAACCTAAACAAGAGAATTGTAGTATAAACAATAAGTCTCAAACCAATTTATTTCGCTTGTTGCATGAGTCATTGTCCGATACTCTACTTCAAAAGAAAAGTATGTCATTGTATTTTGTTTTTTGGTTTTCCATTACACTAGTATGGATCTTAACTTCATCAAATAACCTAAAATGGCCTGTTTAGTGTTAGGACAAAAAGCCCAATCAAAATTGCAATATCCCATAAGTTTCAAATTATTATCCTTCGAAAATAAAAGACCTTGCCAAGAAGATGATTTTAGGTGCTCAAGTATACTCATGGTTGCCTCCTAATGTGTTTGACAAGGTATTTGCATAAATTAGTTGAGCACATGAATAGAGTAACTAATTTCAGGTCGTGTAATCACAAGATAGATCAATCTACCAATGAAATGCTTATATTGTTGTAGATTAGAGCATGTGTTTCATATGTCACTCAACAAATTGTGGTGTTGGTCTATAGGAAAAGCATCGAGCTTATAGTCAAACATTTCACATTCTTTTAGTATATCTAGTGTATATTTTCACTAGGAAAAAAACAAGTCATTGTCTCTATGAGAAAGTTCAAGGCCAAGGAAGTATTTAAGCTTCCCAAGATCTTTCATATGGGACCAAAAGAATTGGTGGAGGTAAGTCTTGAAACTATTACAAGTAGTCTTGTTATTGCCAACTATCAACATATATTAAGATGACCAAAAAAAAACCAAAACTAAAAGTGAACAAGCTAGGGTTTGCATTGCTCTACTTAAAACCATAGTGTGAAAATGCTTGTGAGAGCTTGGCAAACCAGTTTCTAGAAGCTTGTTTGAGACCATATAAAGACTTGCACAAACAACATACATGTTATGTTTAAAGTCACGTATCCTAAAGGGGACAACCATATATACTTCCTCATCCAACTCCGTATGGAGAAATGCATTGCTAACATTCATTTGGTGTAATCCCTAATTTTTTGTTGCTATCGTTAGCAAGCAACAAATAGTTGTTATTTTTGTGATAGGGGTGAAAGTTTTTGTGAAGTATTTTCCTTCTACTTGTATGTACCCCTTAACGACTGGTCGTGCCTTATATTTGTCAATTTCTCCATTTGACTTGTACTTGATTTTTGTATACCTATTTGCAATCCACTAATTTCTTGCCAAGTGGGAATGGTTCTAAGCTCCATGTATTATTTTCTTCTAGAGCTTTAATCTCTTTGGTCATGGCCTCACACCACTCTAGATATTGCGCTGCCTAGGAATAATTTTTAGGCTCAGCATGGGAACTAATGGCCGTAAGAAATGTTGCACGTGAAGGGGGAAATTTATCATAGTAAATAAATTTTGAGATAAAATGAGGCTTACCACATGAAGCTATTGGACTTGGTGATGCACATAAAAGATCTTCAAATGTGGCATGATAAACATAATCATTCAAATAAGCAGGTGGTTGCCTTTTTCGTGGTTCAAGTGATGTGTTGGTCATATCAATAGGTTGTTGTTCAATCTCCTCATTTGTTGATAATTGTTATGACTCTTCTTCCAAATTTTGCATACAAGACTCACCCATTTCATCATAATCAATTATAACTCCTTCCAAATTTTGCATGTGTGAATGTTACATTTCAGTACTTGTAGTAGGTTCCACTGGTTGCATAGTACGTGGAAAAAGGTACTTGAAAAATGTTCATGAAAAGAGTGTGCATTGTCTTTTTCTTGTTGAACACTTGGCAACATGTGTTCATAGAATATCACATCTCTAGACACTAAAAATTCATGGGTTTTCATGTTGTAGACATGCCACCCTTTTGACTTGTGGGGTATCCTGAGCTAGCTCTTGGTGCAAATTTATCATGGGGTTTTATGGGTGTTTTCACATAACAAAGGCATCCAAAAACCCTTATGTGATCATATGAAGGCCTTTTTTTATTTGTGTGGTCCTGTTAATGATATGAGTTGTCAAAATGCATTCACCCTAAAATAACAATGATGAATTTACATGAAATTTAAGTGCAAAAGAAATAATTAAAATATGTTTGTGTTTTCGCTCTACACGACCATTTTGTTGTGACCTTGTTATACATGATGTTTCATGTAAAACTCATTCCTCACAAATAAATGATTGGAATTTTAAATTAATAAATCTCGTTTCATTATTTGTCTTTGTAATTTTTACCTTGACTTAAAATTGGGTTTGCACCATTTTATAAAAGTTAATAAGATGAGTAAAGGTTTCTGATTTTTCTTTCAAAAGATAAACCCACAACGCTTTGGTATAGTCATCGACTATAGTTAGAAAATAGTGTGCATCGTTGTGAGACTCTGTATTATATTTGTCACATAAATCACAATGTATCAATTCAAAGGCTCTACTTGCTTTATTATTACTTAGAGAAAAACGTAACATGCATTGATTAGAATAATAACATACATCACAATATTATAATTTATTTGCATCAAAACTAAATTTAAGAGAACTAGAAAGCAACAACAAAGTCTGGTTAGACAGATGCCTCATCCTTGCATGCCAAATAACATTTTCATTTTCATGGTGAGCAACCAAATAGGTTCCTTGTTGCACTCCCTTAAACACATATACCTTTTCCCGCAAATCACTAGATTCAATTGTCTTCTTCGTAGTTAGGTTTTGAATCACACAACTATCAACTATGTAAGTCACATTGGAATTTAAATCGTTGGTCAACTTATGAATAAATATCAAATTGTAGCTAAATTGTGGAATGTATAGAACATCAAGTGATTTTATGTCTTGGTTAAGGTTCACATTTCCTATTTCTTTAACCATAATCACATCACCAGTAAGTATTGTGATGTGTAGTGGCTCTTTAGGGTTTCACATCTCCTTTAGAATAGAAAGTGATGGAGTCATGTGATAAGAGGCTTTGCTATCTGATACCCACTTATGTGAGTTATGAATAAATACATTACCAGACATGTGTTCAAGATATCCATTATCCTTGCTTGACTAAGCTCCATGGTGGGCATGGTTATTTCCCTCAACAATTGAATTCTTGCTTTGATTATTGTCAACCCATGCAAAACAAGCTCCCCTTGAATTCTTGCTTGTGTTGCGATAAGTTCTACACGTGTTCCAGTTTGTTGGATAGCCAACTAACTCAAATCACTTTGCTTTCTCGTGACCCAACTTTTTGCAATGTTCACATTTGGGTCTCCTCTCATCCCGTCCATTTGACTTGTTGAAAAATCTAGCATGAAATGTTGTTCCAATATATGATCTTACTTCCTAACTCTTTTAGCCATCATGTGTGACTCTTTTTGTAGAATGTGATTAAAAACGCGTCTTTAAGTGTTTGCATGGAGTCTGTGTTCAAAATGGCCCCCTTCACCTAGGCATGA